TGTATGTACGCAAATATATTAATTAATAAAGTTTGATTTCACAAGATGTTCTCAATTAGCTGAACTTCTCCAATATCATATGAATGTTAATTCTCAATATGAATGTTATGTACGAAGATTATATTTGCCATAGTATCATATCATTAATTATTGTTCTATACATATCTGAATGCTCATGTATATGTAATACTAAACATACCAAAAGACATATCAAAATTAAAATCTCAAATGAAATGTAGAATAATATATACTGAAATGTGACGATAATATATACTGAAAACATTCANTGCCATAGTATCATATCATTAATTATTGTTCTATACATATCTGAATGCTCATGTATATGTAATACTAAACATACCAAAAGACATATCAAAATTAAAATCTCAAATGAAATGTAGAATAATATATACTGAAATGTGACGATAATATATACTGAAAACATTCAGAATAAGGATAATATATACATTTACGTTATTATTATGAATTAAGCACCCTACAACCAACAACCTACTCTTACCCAACCAGCAACAAAAATAATAAAAACAAAACAACTGAATCAGCATATAGCTCAACTGCATTCGTCATAAATTAACCAGAACGCTAATAATTTCTACCAAATACAAATGTATATGCTTCAACTGGTTAACGATATCAAATATCTCCCAACGAAACATGTTCATCATTTACATCCTCCTACCCAGTACATAAATTACTATTTCCTGCAAGATTTTGAACCAGACCAATGGACAACTGTCAATGTTTAATAACCACAATTTAGCACATGTTATAGAAAACTTTAGGTTTTTACAATTATACAACATACATAACACATACCTGAGTAGCAACAACATCATTTGACAACACTTGAGTTTCCGATACATTTTCAGTTATGTTGTCTCTCTTTGCTGATGATTCTTTCCCTATAAAGTAGCATAACACATTAATAATCAAGTAAATATTATTATAAACTTCAAATAAGTAAATAATGTTTCAAAAACAAATATCTTGTCAGAATAGGTGTTTAACTCATACCAAATCTTTGTTTTCGCAATTTTTTATTTTTAGCCCTACATACAATGTCGTCAACCTTCGATTGCTTTCTTTTGCATGGAGGACGACCTTTGCTGCGAGCTACCTGTGGACTAATAATTAGACTATTCCCTTCTTTGGGAGGATTGTCCCCCACTTTACTACCAAGCCCTCCCTCACTTTCCTTCTGCTCCAACTTTTTTCTCATGTCAGTCATCAATTCCATCAACATGTTATAGTCTTCCTCACTGTTTGATACCATATCAGCTACTGTCAGCATTAGATTAGACAACTTCTCAAAATGTTGTCCTTCAACGTTTGTGCTCCACCTATTATAACTTACCTTGATTTTCGTATGACATCTTTTATGTTTTTCCTCCAACGCCGTAGAATGTACTTATCTGGAATGTGTGAAACCCTTTCATGAATCAATACAATAATTGCATGTCTACATAAAATCCCTTTGAACTCAAACAAATGACAATTACAACGAATATCACATGAACTTTCTTCAAAGTATACCAAAAAGGGAACACGTCGATTACTATGTCCAAACCAAGCATCTTCTAAAACTTGATACTCCTTATACGAATCGGACTTTTTCAGAAAAGATAATTCACAATAAATCTTCCTCACAATCTTTTCTTGAAACTCTTTAAATTTTGCAGTTGTGTATGCATTTTGAAATTGTTTCTCAATAGGGTAATTAGTTATGCATGGTATCCAAGACTTGAAAGATCTAAAATCAGCGTCCCTTTCCTTTTCCACTTTATCTCGCAATACATTATCATATTGTTCCACAAATTGTTTCAATGTTGTTTTGGAATTTACATATCCATCGAAAAATGCATGCATACTTTCACTACGTTGGGGAGTAGACATTACCTAGCCCAAAAAAGTATCTTTAAGAAATGTAGGCACCCAACGTGCTCTTTCTTTATACAATCCACATAACCATTCATTTATACACATCAATGAATTTGTTCCACCGTTCTTCGAACTCTTCACGTGTCAACGAATCATACACAATATTTTGTAACGTACACTGTATAGTTTCATATTCCTTATACCCTCTTAACTTCTCAGGTAGTTTCTTCATTATATGCCACAAACACCACCTATGTCTTGTACCTGGGAAAACAATCTCAATTGCATTTTGCATGGCCTTATCTTGATCAGTGATAATTCCATTAGGAGTAAAATCCATGCATTCAAGCCAAGAACGAAATAGCCATACAAATGTCTCTGTGTCCTCATGTGAAATTAACGCACAACCTAACAATGTCGAATGTTCATGATGATCAACCCTCACAAAAGCAGCAAATGTCATATCATACTTGTTCGTCAAATACGTTGTGTCGAAGGTCACAATGTCACCGAAATCTTTATATGCGGCCCTACATCTAGCATCAACCCATAGCACATTCTTTAATCGACTCTCTTCATCTACATCAATCATGTACCAGAAATTTGAATTCTCCTTTCGCATTTTCATAAAATACTCTAATAATGCCGAAGCATCTCCAACTCCAAGTCGTAGCCTTCTAACTTTTTCAATGTAGTTCCTACAATCTTTTTGTAGAAACCTCAAATTTCTACATCTCCTGCTTCAACTGAACATGACTGAAAATTTTTACACGGTCTAATCCCAGCCTAATCATTAACTTCAAGCCTCCTTTTCACAAAAGGTTGTATCGTTCGGTTTACCTTGAAATATCTTATTTTCGTTAGACTTGTAAGATCATGGTTATGTTCAAGCACAACTGATTTAATTTCCCATTTGTATTCACCATTCAAAGCTGCACTAATCCGACTCTTACAATCTATTTTTGCAACAGGTTGTTTTTTCAAGGTATTTCTGCATTTACTTCTCTCCTTCCCAAAACAAGAACACGCCACTGTCACGTATCTCATCTCCCTATCATCTCCTTTCTTTGATGTATGTACCATTGCTTCAAAACCCATTTTATTCCCATACCTTCTGTAATACTTCCCATACCTTCTGTAATACTTCACCAAACTATCAACTGAATCAAACACCATTCCAATATGAGGCTCCACTTCTTCCTCTGCACATCTCGTATCTTCTAATTCATCACATTCATTTTCCTGATTCAATGGTTTTATAATAAACAAAATTAGAATGTGCTAATACAACACATCATAATAAACAATACAATACAGCACATTTAAAAAAGTTTCAAACACAATTTACCTCAGCATCATTGAAACGAGGCAAACTAGACTCTTCCATATTCCGTTATTTCATGCACAACTAATACCAATTTTCGCGTTCACGAATCTAGTTCACAACAGTCGCCAACAAATATTATCTATCAAACATATATTCAATCCAAAATAGAATATGAAACTAAATGAATATATAAAATAATTCAAAAATTCTTTACCTTAACAAAAAATTCTGAGCTTTAAAAGGTTTGAAATCCTTATTTTTGTTTCTTGGTTATCTCTATAAAAAGAGGTCTTGCTGCTGCTGCTTGGCTGTTGAGGAAGAAACCGGCGTCGAAGGAGAAGGATAAGAGAAGGAAAAAAATTTGGCGTTTACAAATGAAGCATATTAGACAAGCCATTCATTAAAGACAAGCCATTCATTAATATTAAACAAAATATTTTTTCAACAAATTAAGTATGGACGCTAGTCCATGTAATGCAGACGGTCATCCATGTACTTTGGGCGGCCGTCCAAAGTACATGGACTGGCGTCTATACACAAGGAACGACTGTCCACACTAGATGGACTGATGTCCATATTATGTACATTATATTTTAAAATAATTTTTTAAAAAATAAAAATTTCACAAACGATGGACAGCAGTCCATCTAGTGTGGACAGCCGTCCCTACAAGATGGACAACTATCCACAACAGATGGATTGTCGTCCCCATTATATTTTAAAACTATTTTTTTTTTTTAATTCACAAACGATGGACGGCAGTCCATCGTTTGAGGACGGCCGTCTCTATAAGATGGATGACTGTCCACAGAAATGGACTGACGTCCATCTACTGTGCTTTATGGACGGCCGTCCATATAATTTGGACGACCTTCCATATTAATTGGACGCCTTTCCATAGAATTTGGACAGGAGTCCATTGTTTTTTTTTTTTTTTAATTATACAACTTTTTATGGACGCTCGTCCATTCCACTATGAACGACCGTCCAAGAAGTATGGACGGCCGTCCGAAACCATTGGATGGCCGTCCATTTATGTCAGTGTTCAATTGTCCAATGTGGCGGCGTCCACGTGTTTTGGTGCAATTGTTCGGTACCAAACTTTCGGTGGATATAGCATTTTTGCTTCACTAATGCACTTCCCATATTTCTCTTTATCAAGTTTTTGCCTTATGGAGTCTTCAGTTAAACAAACTATCTATTTAAAAAGTTGAGATCAAGAAAGTAGTTGAAGAACAATTGGATTTTCATGCAGATAAGAGAACATGATACATGTGCTTTATGTTTTACACGTTTTTCATTTTCCTTAGATTGATTCCTTTTCAGGAAATCTGCTGACAGATTTCCTCTGCTTCCACTTAAACCTTGCAATTATGTTTTAAGCCTTGAATATTTAATATTCAATTGTCCTAATTGAGTCTCTTCTTCTATTAAACTGTAACTTACAAATAAATAAATAAAATTGATATTGATTGTAATTGTTTCTTCATGATCATATTAAATCAAAACTTGTAGCAAACTGCACCCCAAAACCTGAAGCAACGTGAAACTTATTTCCACACCAAAATAACAACATTAATATAGTAATCAATTAGCTCATTCTGTCAATCTATACACATAGCTTCTTTATTTCAATTGTGAATTGTGTATAGTCAATCTGCAACTCTCCAACAACGATCTTATAACAAGATATAGAAACTATATATCAAGAAACATTATAATAACCCTTTCATGCATTATTTTCAAACCAATGGCTACCAATTGCATAGCTTCTCTACATTCTGCTCCTAACAGATAGCTCATGCTTCACTTGGTCCCTTAGAACTCTCCTCAGTAGCTTGTTTGATGCAGTTCGAGGAAACTCTGGGACAATCTTCACAAAGTTTACCTGGTAATGCACCGAAAAAAAAAAGGGAAAAGATCCATATTAGCAACTCAAAGCATAACACAGCCTACTGCTTGTACATAACTTTAATATACAATTTTCATAGCATTGGCATGAGTTTTAATCCAGTCAACCATGATTTATCAGATATCAAGATTTAACAGAGTGTTTTGTAATGAGTGCTCGTTTTAACTTAGAATCTGTGCCTTCAAATGCCATAAAATTACAGTCTAGAATGATTCAGCAGTACTAAAGAAGATATGCATGATATTAACTATAGTAAGAATAAAATATATCCTGAGCATCAAACCTTAAATAGAGGGTTGAGGTTGCTCTGGATGGCTTTCGAGAATGTCATCTTGAGCTTTTCTGGTTGGCGGTTGTATCCTTTCTTTAGTACCACAAATATAACCAACACTTCGGGACCACCACCTACTGGTGCTACACTGATTGCAGCAGTCTCCAAGATACTTTCATCAGCTCGGTCACACACACGCTCAATTTCTACAGAACTTGTCTGCGTGCCAAAAAAATACAATATATTACAATTCATAAATTAATCCAGCCCCACAGATTCAAGAAAAGAGATGGTGGTATAACAAGTTCAAGCCTGTTCAAACATAACCAGTTTTTGACTTCTATTGTCACAAACCTCACCCACAAATTAAACTTTGAATCAGCTTAGAATTGCTTCATCATCTCCCATCTAAGAAAGGAGAATGTAATACCTTTATCCCTCCAAGATTCATGGTGTCATCAGCCCTGCCCTGTACAACGAAATAGCCTCCAACAGTCCTCTTAAGGATGTCTCCGTGTCTCCTGAGGCACTGTCAATAAATAGGCTAAGTTACTTCAAGGTTTCTGTTTCTGGTTAATAGTATTTAGAGATAAAAATCTGATTACGCTCTGACAGCTATACATTATGATAAAGGGAGGGACAAATTTAGAGACCTTTTTTAATTTAACCAAGCTTTTATGCAGAGCTATGACTGAGGTGGATAGACCTAATGCCTCTATACTCCAGACCTAATTGCATCTTGCCCTTGATGCAGAAAAACATCACAAACGAGCAAAGAGGGAAAAAAGAATAGCAACAACTTAATGGCTCAGCAATGGTAATTTATCCCACAAGTTAATGCTTATACTGTGACTTGCTTACTATCAAATTACACTATGACTTGCTTATAATCAAATTTCAGACTTGTTTGCATCTCTATCTTTTTAAACTTCCATAAAGCATAACTAACACCAATGGCATTAATCCAGGCTCCAATAATGCAAATATAATCCAGACTCCAATAATGCATATGTCCAAAAGATAGTATACTTTAAATATTAGCCGCAGAAATACCACTGGCACTTGGAGACTCCAACCTGAGCCCCCAAGAGAATCCCCAGTGGTTAACTCAGCCAATAAATCACATAAAGTATAATCTATAGATGATAAGTTGCCAACATGGTATAAGACACCCCCCAATCCCCAAGTGAAACAAAGAAAAAAGATTGACAGAAATAAGCATTGAACAATGTCTCTATGAAAGTAATTGTGAAAGGCAGGTGTAAGCATACCATTCCTTTATACGTTGGCATTCCCCTGAAGTAAACTTTATCATGATCAGCATTAAGCAATCTATCAGTTGCTCCAAGGTATAGAGGAAACAAAGCCACTTCACCAATACATGGTTGATCATCCGGCTGTCACATAGGTGAAAAAGATCAAATATACTCATATACAAAACAAACCTTCACATCAATCATTCTGACTCCCACTTATTCATTTATAAGATTATGATAATACTTTTACATGTCACCTAGGTCATGAAAATACACTTTGGCTTGCAAGATTTGTAAAAGAAATTCAATTCAGTCCTATTGAGAAGATGTTCTTACATAAGGAACTCCATTTTCATCAAGAATGAGAAATCCAGTTGTCAATGATGCAGTGCTAAAGGTTCCAAATGCTTGTGGCTGCAGCGGACTCCCTTGGATGTAGGATGAAGCGAGCTCTGTGCCTCCACAACATTCAATAATGGGTTTGTAGTAAGCTTTTGAAGAAAGCCAAAGGTCATCATCAACATTTGAAGCTTCTCCAGTGGAGGCAAATGTTCTGCACAATTATTGTAAGTCATCTTTCTTTTGAATTACAAGTACACATTTAAATTTGAAGTTGAAAGAGAAAATTACTTTATCTTTGTCCAGTCTAAGCCTTCCAGACAGTTGGTGTTCTTCCAAGCTTTTACTAAGCTTGGAACTGTACCCAAAACAGTCACTCCAGCATCCTGAATATTCATAGAGAAGATTAAATACGTGAAGCAAGACTAAGAAAGTACAAAAACAGTTCACCGAGCAGTAAGCGATGAGTTTTTAGACCCATAAAAGAATAAGGGAGTATAAAATGTCACCTGAACAAATTTTACAAAACTGCTGCCAAGAGGAGATCCATGAAAGAGTGCAAGAGTTGCACCGCTTAGAAAGCATGAGAATAGTAAAATTGGCCCCATCACCCATCCTAAATTTGTTGGCCAGCAGTAAACATCTCCAACTTTAATATTAATATGAGCCCATGCATCAGAAGCACATCGAATTGGAGAAAGTTGAGTCCACGGAATTGCTTTTGGATCTCCTGCAGATAAACTAGTTAGTAATTGATAAACAGAATCTCAATATATAACCAAACAGTATACATTTGATTAACTGATTTCTCTACCTGTTGTCCCAGATGAAAAAAGGATATTAATCACCGAGTCTACTGGTTGATAAACTGGAGAGTAATGCTTTGGTCTGCCACCAAGAGAACTTCGTTACATTCATTGACATAATCTCAAACAACTTAATTGGTGAAACTATAAAAAGATTTTGGATATTTCTCTTGGAAATTTAATGATGATGATGAACCCTTTCAATATAGTAACACTTGTTTTACGGACAAACATAAGAGTATAGATCACCTTGGAAGGTGACGGACACTGGAAAGGAAATGTGTCCATGATAGATCCTGTTCTCTTAGTTGAATGCCAACATCATGTCCAGTGGCTGGGAGCACAATAGTTTTAACTGGACCAGCTTCTATAACTTTACTGCAAAAAAGAACAAAAATAGCTTTTCTGATGCAACCAGTAAACTTAGAAGACGTGTCAAGTCCTTGATGTAAACAAAGATAGAACTATATAAAAGAAGAGTTGACTTGGAATTTTAAAAGAGAAAGTATTAATTATTAAAAGTGGTAACTTGCTAACAAAAGTTAAAAATGCAACATCTTGTATAGACAGTGAAAGGTATGTCTTTACCTGTATAAAGGAAACTTTCTACCTCCTCTCAATATAAAATCCTGGATATAAATTGAAGGCAGATATCAATTTCATATACTTCAGTAATTCTAATCCTTCGTCTGTTAGGGGATCTATAGTAATGAAGGATCACCTGAGTAAAGATACCCTTTGCTTTTGACACTCGCAAACGAGTAGCAATTTCCTTAGGTGCAAAGCTGTCAGCTATTGATACAACAACAAATCCCGCAAGTACAATTGCTAGATAGATAATAACGGCATAAACTGTCATTGGCATGTCAATTGCAATTGCATCACCCTTCAAAAATGTGGCATCCAATGCATTAGCCACCAACCTGCAACTCATGTTGTAAACATATCAATAAACAGTCTAAAATAACCAAAACAAAGGCCCACATTACAATCAGATAATATAGTCAAACTGCAGATAATACGGGAGAGCATACATTACTTGTTCTCGAAGTTCTTTTAATGTCATACAGTTAACAGGGGAGTCATCACAGCCATCATCTCTCCACACAACGGCCAGACTATCATCCTCTTTTCTCGGATGATTTGTAGGTTGTAAACAGCATTCAGCAATATTCAAAGTTGAACCTGGAAGCCAAACTCCACCGGGTTTCGATTTCTCAGTTCTATCTAGAATGCACTTTGGGGGTTCATGAAATTGAACCGAAAGCTCTTTTAGGACTATAGCCCAATAAGCCTGAAAACCATTACCGGATGCAAAAGTAAGATGACAAAACAGTTTCTTCAACTTGAAAACAAAATATTGCACTTAGTTTACATTTGGATGAAACTATAAATGCATCAATATAAAAGTACTTACCTCAGGGTGTTCAGCTGTGAATTTCTGAAAGAGGCTAAAACTTGTTATAGGATCTTTGTACAATGTGCCTAAAAGTTTTGGACCATAAGCTTCCATCACATGTCCTAAATTAGTAAGTTTTGATTGATTTCTGACATCAGAAGAGCATTCTAATCAGTTAGGAGAAGAGGTACAAACTTTGATGCAGTAGTGAACATACTGAGATAAACATAGCCAAAATGCATGATCAATTTCAAAAATATCCAATTCAAACCACACTCCTGTGCATATCTGCAACAAACACATAATCTACTTCCCTGACAACCCATGTTTGTTCAATCTAAAATCAACACTATAGCAGCAGAGATCAACCACATGCCTTCATTTTTTTTCAAAATTAAAAATCTAAAACAAGCCCCTCGCCGCCTTGGTATAATTAGGATTCGATCTCAANTGAACAAAATTACCCTTGAATTCAAAACAAATTGCAGCCCACCCAAGCCACCACCCCCACCCACCAATCATCGCTTGCTGCCGGAAACCATCGTCACGGCCAGCGGCGACCACCACCGGAACGGCGCACGGAAGGCCGAAAATGGCCGTCATGCACTGATATGGCCATTTTCGACCAGACGGCTAGATCCGTCGATCTGGCTAACAGCCAGTTCAATGATCTGGTCATTGACTGCCAGATCCGTTAACGGCCAGATCCATCAATCTAGCCGTCGACGGCTAGATCTATCAAGTCTGGCCATTTCTAACAAGAAATGGTCATACGACGCACGGAGGTCATTTCTTACCTTCTGTGCGCCATTAGGTTGCTGACTACCAGGGGCCTGCAATGGTTGCCGACAGTGGTTGGGTTGATGGAGGTGCTTTGTTGATTTTTCAAACTTTTATTATGGGGTTATTTTTGCTAAGTTTTTAAATATAGAAGGGTTATAATAATACAAATAATAATCAATAATAATATTTAATTAGAACACAATTCAGTAATTTAAATAACATATCCATAAATTTATTCCTCCCAACCAAACATATTAACATAACATACCCATCAATTAACCAAATATATCAACATTCCTTGAACCAAACGTCCCTATAATTATACATGCATTAAATCAAAATACAAATATAACCCATTAATACAAAGATTGGGTTATGTGTAACCATCTCGTCAGTATCCTGTCTATACTCCGAATCCGAACCGTCCCCACCTCTTTACCAACACCAAACTCCCACCTATAAGTGAAATCTGGGGTGTTAAGAGTTGGGGTGGGTTGGTGGAGTAGGACCCACATACCAACTCTATACCCTCTCCTCGCCCCGATTTAATCGTTGCTTTTGGCCCCACACGTTCCTAAATATAACTTTGTTGAGTGAAGAATTAAGATCCAGGTTCTTACCAACCATAGACATATGAATGAATCAACTGTTAGAAAACTTGATTGAACAAGTAAATGAGGTTCACTTGTTTTTGACTTGTGAGTGTATGTACACCCAACCACCATCCCAATTAATAATACAATACAATACAATACAATACAATACAATACATGAGACAATCAACCGCATCCACTTGCTCACCAAATCAATATCACCCACCTGGCTTCCTACTTTTATCATCACCAGAGGCTCAACCCTTCCTAATCCTCAATTTGTATCAGATAGTGTGAATCCATGAATACAGATCTGTAGTTTCTTTGTTGAAAGAGAGAAAAAAAAAAAAAAAAAAATTGTGAAGAAAAGATTAGATTACATTTGTTACAAACCCTGTTCAAAGATCCCTCATTGTAGAACGGGTTTGAAGATAGGATACAACAATGGTCTATTCACCAAGAACCTATATAAGCAAGAGCCAAGCGAGGAGTCGCCAGCTTCAGCTACTCTTTTTACCTGCAATACAATCAAATATCGTCAGTATACCACCACTGACAGAAAAACTCAAGCTAATAACTTTGAAACATGTTAGTTTGTTGATCAAACTTGACTACATTTATGTTTTAAACAAGCTACTCCAACAAAAATTGCAGAAGACAAGCTCAATTTACATGCAAGACACCTAAACAGCCTGCCTGCCATTCTGCTCAAAGCTAATGACATGAAATACATTGTTGAAAGCATTACCTATCCACATGACTAAGAGAGTGCTATGGTAACAACAATGTGCCATTTACATTTAAAAAGGAAAGAAACAGAAACAGAAAGTTTCAACATGTTTAATTTGAATTACATGGTCTACTACACTGATTTTTCAACACTAAGCTCATCTTATTAGAGTTTAGCAATAACACAAATGAACAAATCATCAAAATATAAAATTGCTTCCACAAAATGCATTGAAACATAGGCCATTAGGTTATATGGTCAAAATTATGCAACTCAAAAAAAAAAAAAAAAAGAGAGAAGGAATGAAAACATATATGAAAAATGAAAAAGTTGTGCTTACCACTTGCAATGACATCAGAAAGTTGCAACTTCCCAAATTTCTTTAGACATGTCTAGAAAGTCTACAGTACCATCTTCAAACATGATCTACAACACCATAAATTCTTATATGATCATTATGCTCTTATAATATATAGTAGTAGCCAGAGGAAAGAGTAACTTACTGTATGTTGTCTGCTATACTTATCAAATCGTCTGATAATCCCAAAGAAACTACAAAATTTGAGTCGAGAAATAGAAAAATCAGTCAAACAATCATGAATAAAGTTGTTTGAACACAAATCTTTTTAGTCAAATTCTAGCAAATGACCCCTTAGGAAAGTATAAAAACAGAAAGCACATAACACCATTCATAGAACTTCAGCCAATGTTACAGTATACTCAACCAACCTGAAGAACCCCTTGATCCTTTCTTCTGCACCCTACCATCCTCTTTCAGCCCAAATAAAGAAATTACAAATGCAGAAGACTCCTAAATATTCTTAAATAAGAAAAACAGGCCTCACAAAAAAGAACTCAAATAATATAAAATCCTGATTTGGAAATGAATCACAATGCTGAAAGGTACAAGTGAAAAATAATCGTATATGAATACACTTTGGAAATATATTCCAACTTAAGAACCCTTAAATTCTATAAAATTAAAGATTTCAATCCAAAACCTCTATTCCCATAATAACCCATCACATGAGAACTTCCAAATTATAATCCTACACAGCAATGGCCTTAGCTTCAAAAATTTAAATGACCAAAATCTTCAGCCCTGTTGGGAATATAACTCCCTTCAGTTTATTGAATTTCCTTCCATATATTGGTTGAATGGGTTTGAAACAGGATAAATTTAAAAAGCACAAGTTAGACACACCCAAAAAACTTGCTACATTCAAAATACAAAGGGATATATCTTAAGCTCCAATATAATTCATTTTCTCAGATGGGAAATGAGCTAATCCAGACAAAGAGAAATAATATTCTGAAAATACCTCTCAGGGGGACGAGATAATCTAATCACTTTGCCAATGCAACATTGTGAGCATACTCGATTTTGAGCAGATCGAGAACTTCCTGAATAGAAACTGGCTAGTGTGAGACATATGATCTATTTCAAGATACAGCAGCTAATATATAAAATAGAAATCAGTAAAGCTCACTAACCTGTATGCAAACCTCCATTCTGATAAATCTAGTGAAACAATAACTGAAAGTCAGTTCAAGTTCACAGAAAAATGCAACACAACAACAATTAAGCAGAAATGATAAAATAACCAGAAGCTATGTACTTGAAATTCTTGTGAAACATATATCAAAAACAAGTAATGGAATTTCAAGACAAAACTCTTTCTAGATGACATTAACATGCAATTTTGACTACTTCATGACAGTTAAACACCTATGTTAGACTCTAACCATTTTGTAATGTAGAATGAAATCCAACATATTTGAACACAATACTCCAAATTATTTATCTTCACAAAAGCAGCCATTGAAACAGCCAAGTCAATATTACTGTTATCAAATCTTGAACCTAACTGTCCAATTATTAGAGTTGACATTTACACTATCACTGGAGATAATGTAAGCAAATCCATTTATTGGATTACTGTTATCAAATCTTGAACCTGTCTAATTATTAGAGTCAACAGTTACACTATCACTGGAGAAAATGTAAGCAAATCCATTTATTGGAATAAAAGACGTAAGAGGGAAAAATATATGCATAAATCTAAAATTTAATTCTACTTGAATTCTGTCTGTTATGTTCTGACAAAGATCCAAAAACTATTACAGTAAGATTGTGGCTAAGAGCTAAGAATGGAAGTATTACATCCTCGTACTCCTTTCCCTCTGTCCTGTCGCATTTCCATTTTATTTTTTCTAAAAAGAACAAGTAAAAAGTTTCTGTACTACATCTTCAACAAACTTCTATACCAAAAACTTCTATAAAAGATGCAATATGTATAAGATATTATCAAACAGCCACCTGTACATACATGCTTTGCAGATAATATTGCTTTCAATTTGGGAGAAGAGATAGCTACCTGGCAGGCTACAAACTTTAATGTTGCATCGGAAGATATCTTGGGCTTGCTAGGTTTTACCCCCAGCTTCCTCCTACAGCCTATAGCTCCACAATGGCAGTCTTGATCTGCACCAAATTGAACAAACCTGCTAAATTTGTTAGATGAGGGAATTGAGTAAAAATATTTTTGAAGTGAATTACGTCTACCAGTAATGACTTGGCATGCAAATATCATTTCTCAGAAAGATATCTAAACGATGCCTGCTTAGAACAAAAGACTAACAATATGCTGAGTAAAATGTCTAACAGTATGCAATAGGACTGATGTAAGTGCTCATACTGATAATCATAGGTCAGATGTTCGCCCTTTTTTATGTCACGGGTTGCAAAGATACCTATTCTTGTTTCACCATCAATTATCCTAGAGAAAAGATAAATTAAGACATAAATGATTAGCAAATGAACAAGTATGACTATAAAATCAGCAATAAGGAGTCAGTAAAGAACCATTTCTGCATCTCGGTATTGGGGCAGCAACTATGGTTAATGTATCTTGACTTGTTTCCTTTGTATGTGGCATCAATTACCATGTCTCTATTGATCTCACACAAATAGAAATTGGTTTCTCCGCGGTGTTTCATTTTCCAAAGTCTTTCCTCACATGTTTTGTCATCAATAACTGCATTGAAGAAACACCTAGCATATATTAATAGCTTACAGAGGTAGTGAAACTTGAAACTACAGAATTTAATTTTAGTATGACAAGAAATGACTAAAATGTCACCTTCTCCAACGTATTCAATTACAAACTCTCCTCGTTTAATATCTTCATCAGCCACAATCCCGGATCCACATTTCTCGGTCTACAAGCAATACCTTATTTAACTTCATATTTTGAAAGTAGATACAAGTAACAACAACAAACATGAAAAGGAATGACACCAAAGAGAATGCAAAACATTAGAAAGTGAATACAATGATGGATATCTTGAGAGGTACATATAAAGAATGTAAAGGCAAATTTGCAACATTTAACACCTTAGTCACAATGACCGAAGTAAACAGGAGATAGGTCACGAGAGACAGAGACAGATTACAAAAAGAATTAGTTTCATAGTCAAACGCTCATCTCACTCCTTCCCTCTTTTTCTTTTTTCTTCAATCAGAAAATCCCACTCCTTTATAGATGATATAAGAACCATGATTCAGAACCTTCAAGAGAAGTCACACATTTGTACCTTTACTAATTTCATTTTCTTCACAGGTCGGTGCTGGAAGGGTTTGTTAAGGCATGAATCCCCACATTTGCAGCCTGAGGAGCAACTAGATAGTAGCATCCTGCATAAAGAGAGTGATAACTCTTTTTTAATATTTTTGTTGATTAGAGACCTATAATTTGTGCATACGAATCTGAGTTAATAAATTGAAATGTAAAGAAGCTAGCATACAATAGCATTTCCAATAAATTCCCAGACAAAACATGTCTTACATAAAGCCACATGGGAACCTTTCACCTTGTACAACCAACTCCAACCCCAAATAATTTAGATAAATCTTCAAGAACCAAAATCATACCATTAAGATATACCATTTTTGCAAAAAGTATAGCATGACGACATAACCCTAAAACTCTATTCACCCAAGCTATAATATTCACTGTAGCCTGTCCTACAACCTGTCCCACATGGAACTACATAACTAATGTCAACCGAATATTGGTTTCCAGGACCCATATCAAGGGCATGTTCAGGGATCAGGATAGTAACTTGGGTAGGGGCATGCTAGCATGTGAACAGGATTAAATGCATGTAACCTGTCATGAAATGGCACCAAAAGAAACAGAAAGTGGCTACCTAGACAAACTAAATACTACAATATCTTCCAATAATGAAAATTTTGAGCAAAGTTGAGGTTCAAAACCTAAATATAAGTCCAAATCTAAAGCATGCTTCTACTGCCATGACAGAGTCAAATTCAAGAGCAATGAATTGAAACCAAAAAAAATTAACAGAGGCAAAGACGAAAACTAATTGCAGCGTTCTTAGAACCTACAAATCACCATCATATAAAGCACAGCAACCATGATTTACCAAGACAAATTTCTTACCCACAATGGCAATCTCTATCACAAACGCCAGAAGAACCTGGCGATGCAGTGCAAGAGCAGAAAATGCCATCATCCTCAAGACGCTTTTTAATCCTCTTTGTGAGATATATATCTTAAATTTGTCAACATCAACAACACCAAAATACTCAAGAAATCCCGTGATGGGTACACTTAGATATATTTATAAGTATTTATAAGTATAAAATTTATAGCATCATTTCAATACAGTTGGTGTTCTCAAGATCCGCAAACACATTTGGTAGTGTTTCCTTCAAATACTATTCTAAATAAGAAAACAGTGAAAACCCATTTGGTGTGGTATCTAAAACAAAAAAACGTACCTCCCTAAGTTCACACAAAATATGACAGCAAGATTTTTAAAAAAGAGAGGGCTGGGAACAATTTGAAACATTTATAAATACAAATTTTATTATATCATTTTTCAATACATTTTGTGTTCTCAAGATCTATGAATACTTCTAATAGTATTATTCTTCAATACATTTTCCAATACACAACACCTAACGAAGCTTTAAGAACAATAACAGCAAGATAGTATGACCCTAAACAGCTTGAAAACATAAAATTGAAGCACAAAAAAGGGAAATTAAAGAGGATACTGCGCTTAATGAAGGTGTAGGGAGTTGGCCTGGACTTGATGAAGTAATCCGGAAGTTCAAACTCAACGGGGTGCCCAATCTGGCACATCAATTTTTCAAAGGCATGGCTAATGATTTCAGTATTAGTCTGATAAAATTCGTCCAAAACAAGAACAAATTTCAGTTGCAAATTTAGTTAGACATCACAAAGAAGCAAGAACAATATAGTCTAAGAAGGAACCAGGACAAACCTTCTTGGTAGTAGGCATCGCCGCAACTGCGTAGAACCGAAATTAGAGGTGAATACATGAAAATTAAACAACTTGTAAACAATAAATTAGAATTCTAAAGAGTCTGTTTCTCGTGAATTTGTGTAAAACAGAGTAGTTTTAGTTAAATTAAGTAAGCAAGAGTAATTAAAGAAAAAGCGGGTTACCTGAACTCCTGAAGAGAGAAGACAGATCTCAGGCTTCTGTGAGCGAGTGAGTTGCGTTTGGGAGGGAAGTTTTTGAGCGTATTAAAATCCCCGATAACTTTTCTCTATCTCACGGCAGCCTCGGGTGGTAGATTTTAGGGTTAATCTCATTTACCTCCTCTGAGGTTTCAAGATATATTTACACCCCAAAGGCATGAAATAACAGTAAAGTAATAGATGACCTCACTTTTTTCATTTGTTAACAAATTGTTATAACTAACCGATAAAGGGTAAACATGTCATTTCTTACTATTTATCTAAAAAGGTTGAGAACAAGTAAACATGTTGCTGATTGTTTGCATATAATCTTCAATATCAATATAATAAACCTACTTCATATATATATTGCATTACATGCATGACTAAAATTTCAAAATATTTTATGTCATTATTTAACATTAACGAGTTGAGGACTTATTGTTGGACCTGTCACCCTTTTATTTGTCTAATTTTAAAATTTACATTGCAACCAAGATTTCAGGTGCATGTCCAAATTCCTATCGTGTTTGCCTATCATCTACTATTAAGGGCAATATCGAAATTTTAGTTAGTGTTGATAGTTAGTTAACAAATGAAAAGGGAGAAAATTATAATTTTTCAAACCTTTGAGGACTAATATTTTTTTCTTCAAACCTGAGGGAAGATTGGTAATTCACCCTAGAATCATTGAGGGGTAGACAAATTAGGAATTTCACTTGAAGTTATGGTTAGGCTGGGCTGGGCTGGGCTGGGCTTCGTGGTAACTAAAAATGGCCCGAAAAACCTCGTTAAACACGTGCAACGGTGCAAGAGTTTAACTCAAAAATCTAAACATCAATTAAAGATCCTCTTTTTTTTATTTCAAGTTTTTGTTCTAGTTTTTGTTGTTTTCGTGTTTCTCTTTCTCTTTCTTTTGCCTTGTAACTTAAAGAAGAAGAATTTTTGAGGTGAGGTTGAACTTCACGCTAATCATTGTTTTGTTCTGGTAACCCATCTCCATCTCTCTCTTTACATATATAATTTGCTTTCTGCTTCAGAAAATTATTTATCTATATACTTATTCATATTCGTTTGTAATTGATTGTTATGACATTAATATATTGATTCAATCGAATAAATATGCCAACTTGTTACGATTATTGCAGATCTTACTTTGTTTATTGTATCTTTTTGCAATTGATTCTTTTTTTTTTTTTTTATGTGGGTAATTGAATATTTCCTGGTTTGCTTTATTCAATTTGTGTAATTATTTATACAATCATGGTATAACTGTAAACTGCTTAATTGGAACAATTTTTTATTGAATTTTTTGTTTTTAATGAGGGTTTTGGTTCTCTTGTTCATTTGATATTTATCTTGGAACTTCGTTGGCTTTTTCGCTGTAGGTGAAATTTTAGAACTTGTGGTTGCTTCTATGAGGCAATTGCTTTTCCATAAAGTGATTCATGACTAGGTAATGAAGGGCTTTCGTGAGAAGGTGGTGGCGTCAAAATGTTCTTCTAAAAGTATAGTTGATACTTCTAATAGAGCTTCGACATCCTCCAGCTTAGAGCCAGGATCTAGTGAGGTTAAAATATCTAAGGGTTCTTTGTTGTCGGGCTTCTTAACATCAGCTTTCTCAATCTTCGAAACTTATAGTGAGTCATTGGCTCCTGAAAAGAAGGCAGGCCATTGTAAAAGTAATGGCTGGGCAGCAGCTGTGAAGAGGGTAGTGACTGCTGGCTCAATGAGGAGAATACACGATCGTGTACTAGGGCCCAGCAAGACTGGAATTATTAGCTCAACTAGTGACATATGGCTTCTTGGTGTTTGCTATAAGATTGCACAGGAAGAGTCCACTAGTAATGTAGCTAATAGCGATGGATTGGTTGCATTCAACCAAGATTTTTCATCAAGGATTCTGATAACATATCGTAAAGGTTTGTATAATGTAGCATCGTCTTTTCTAGGTATGTATGTAATTTATCAACTTTGGTGTATAACAATTGGGTTTGGATGGTTCATCTACAGGTTTTGATGCTATTGGGGATTCAAGGTTTACAAGTGATGGAGGCTGGGGTTGCATGCTTCGAAGCAGTCAGATGCTTGTTGCTCAGGTTCCTTTTCACATGCTACAGAAAATCTTCAGATGATCACTATAATTTGGATTAATAATCACAAACTCATGCTATTATTTCTTGTTGCACTGTGCTGTTTACAGGCATTGCTTTTTCATTGGTTGGGAAGATCTTGGAGAAAGTCTTCTCAGAAGGTAAGAGAAACGGCATTTAATTGTTCAAATTTGTGATTGTAAGTGAGTTATAGATAATTATTAAATCAGACTAGATTCTTCCTGAGATATGATCACATGGTAGTCTTGTCAAGCTTTATAGCGTACTGATTATGTTTGTGCTGTTTCCTTATTTATTTAGCAGCCATTTGATCTTGAATATCTTGAGATCTTGCGCCTTTTTGGTGACTTTGAGTCTTCACCTTTTTCTATTCACAATCTTCTTCAAGCTGGAAAGACTTATGGTCTTGCCGCTGGGTCATGGGTGGGTCCATACGCCATGTGTCGGACATTGGAATCTCTAGCCCGATGTAAGAGAGAGGAAACTGGTCTTGAGTGCCAACCACTTCCCATGGCTGTCTATGTGGTTTCTGGTGATGAAGATGGAGAGCGTGGTGGAGCTCCAGTAGTCTGTATTGAAGATGCCTCTAAACATTGTTTCGAGTTTTCAAAAGGTCAATGTGACTGGACTCCAATTCTTCTTCTTGTTCCTTTGGTTCTTGGACTTGAAAAAGTAAACCCCAGGTTTGTACATTTTTCTGAAACTTATCCATTGCATAACTCATGATCAATTTTATTCTTTGTTTCATCTGCCTTATGTGAGATATTAAAGAACTAATCAGGATTCGCAAATACCTCTTCCAATGTTATCATTAAAATATCCCTAATGACCGTGCTGCTTGTTGCCCTTAGATTGGCCTAAAGTAGGTTACACAAAATCTCGTCTAGAGGTTTATGCTGAGCATGTTATAAGTAGATTGTTGGCTGGAAGGGTCCTTGGAATCGGTGTACTTGTTTCTTTGGTTCAATTTTTGAGGTAGACTCCTTAGGTCAGTGAGCTGTTTTGCTTATTGATACGCTTCTTCTTCAATAGCTTGTATGAGTAAGGATGTTTGATTGAGTTTGCTTTTGGTTAGAATTTGTGTTTTCCTAATTTCCTAAACTTTGTTTTGGAAGTAATTTGTTCTTCATTTACTATACTATGTATTGACGTTGTGATTAGGTTTAGTTTTCTATATATAAAAGCTATGTCCAGAGAACTGCCAAATGGAAATAAGGAAGCTGTGCATAATATCCTTATACAAGGGTCTTATAGCAAGTTGTTCGTCTCCTTATCACTGAATAGAAGTGATGCTGGACCCTATGAATATTATCCTGGCAGTTATTATGAAGTTCTATGAGCTTTATGGACATTGACCCCAATTGCGGAATAACACAGAATCAATCTTTTAAAGACATTTGGATATAATTTTTCCTTATGAACTCTCTGTATTCACATTTTCCTTTTAGCAAATAGTATGACTAAAATTGATTGATTTTAAGGAATCAAATTGTTCTCAGTGGAATATTCTTCACTGAAATAAGTAGGAAAATATAATAATTGGAATTTGGTCTTTTGAGTTTTTTCCACTTCTATTTACCAGTTGGAATTTTTTAATTGCTTTTCAGGTACATTCCATCATTGCGGGTAACATTCACCTTCCCTCAGAGCCTTGGCATTATGGGTGGGAAACCTGGTGCCTCAACCTACATTGTCGGAGTGCAAGAAGATAGTGCTTTATACCTTGATCCCCATGATGTTCAGCCGGTAAAGCTTCTAATTCAGGAGTTGATTAAAATTGATATCTGTGAATGACATTCTTAAATGGTATTATTACATTGGCTCTTACAATGACTTTGTGTCAAGCGATTTATATTCTTCTCTTCTGGCACGGATGAATTTACCATAAGTTAAGCTAATTGCCTCATGTCCCACTAGAAAATCCCGATTGCTTCCGATCACAATCCATGAATTAATGATATTTTTTTATTTTCTTGAGAGCATCTTAAGGAGCAAAAGGTTATCCAGTAAAAAGGGAGATTAAGTGTTGGTGTTTACAGATTTAGTAGCTCCCAATGTATTTAAACTGTTGTGAATGTGTCATTGCTTGGGGAAACAATTTGCTTGAAGTTGGAAACATGTAGAGAAATGCAAGTCAAAATATTAGAAACGAACAACTACTCACGAAGTATTTGTCATGTATTGATGGTCAAATTATCCATTTGAGGCTCACAAACTTGTGTCAACCTTCTCATATACTAAGTATATCTTGCCTTTGGATTTTATTTTTAGTCAGTCTTGGCTATAATCTCATATGCAAGTGCATGACATGTTAACTTTAATTAACTTTTAAACTTTATATATTTAACGAACTATGACAAATCATCAACACAAGAGAGGTAAAAGAAAAAGAAAAAAATACTGAAAGATGAAATCCTTACTTACCTTGAGTGATTACCCAAGTTAAAGGTGAGCTCTCTTTGTGAATTTAATTCTTGATTTTCTTTCTTTGAATGATTTGTTGGTCTAATTACTACATAATTGAAATTGTTAATTGTTTTTAATGCTATTCTATAGGGTAAATCTTGACAAAGCTATAACTCAAGTTAGTTTCAAAATAGCATTTATTGGACCATTTAAAAGTTAACTGTGAGCATTAAATAATTATTGTCATAATTATAATTTTCATGACTTGTTAGTTTCTCTACTCCAATATGTTGCCTTATGGGGACCGCAACCATCCTATTACACCAAGTGCCCCTAAAAAGTTGGATAAGTGTGGGGACGACTAACAGCCACCAGCTTCTTGTGCTGTATGGGTACCATTGTGAACCGCATAGCTGTTTGCTACTTAATGCATAGCTCTATCCTGTTGCTAAGAGATTAAATTTTGTCTCTCCCTAACAGCTCAAGCTTTAGGGGAGTTGGTAAGCATCATTGCTTAAAAAGTAGTGTTACAGTGAGATAATGGGTTTGAGTCCTTTTTTGTCATATGGGGTATAGCAACCACCCTATTCCTCAGAGCACCCCTAAAAAGTTAGATGACTGTAGGGAGGACTAACCGCCTCCGCTCATCAATCTTGTATGGGTAGCATTGCAAAAGTGCCTTATGCTGTCGTGCCACTTGCTGTGGGGCTTTGTGCTACTTTGAAGGATTAAATTGCGCTTCTTTTTGCTACTTAAGCTTTAAGGAAGTTGGTTAGCACAAACTTTCCTTACACAACATGGTGTATCCAATAGTGATTGTTTGTTCAATAGAAGCCCTTAATTTTGCTTATATTGTGTTCTTAATTGATTTTTTTGTTAAAACTTTTGTCATTTCCTTACGTGGTTAATTATCTACAGTATAAGTGATGGTTTAAAATATTGACTTTTCTTAAAATTCAGTACTGTGATATAACTCATTTTGCAATTAACAATGATCAAATAGAGTTGATTTATATTCTCTACCAATTTAGGCACTGAATTAATGGAATAGATTATGGCTGTTATACTGTGAACTTTCCTAAAATTACTTCATGTTGTGCTCTCTTGATTCATGAAGTTTTAATTTTAATTTTACTGTCAGCATGTTAAGCACTTATTTGAAGAAATTCATCAATAAGTATCCTAGTGCGTTTATATTAACTTGAAGAAATTCAGTACTGTGATATAACTCATTTTGCAAAGTGCTAAGGATTTCTGAAAGCATATACTGATATGCATTAGTCTTTATTTCATAGAAAATGTGCATTTGATGTTGGGTTTTTCTGTGGTGGCCGGTCATTGATTGTAATCTTATATTATTTTACTCTGAGTTGATTGTGGTAAATGTCATTCTAACTGCAGTTTTTTTAATTATGGCTGTTTGTCAGGTAGTCAATGTCAGCAGGGATAATTTAGAGGTGGACACTTCATCTTACCACTGCGAGTAAGTGATCTTCTAGACTTTGGCTTCTGAGCTTATTTTCAGATTTTGCTTTCTTTTTTTGCTTTTTTTTTTTTGTTTTTTTTCTCCCTTTAACCTCTTGTTGTTCTTACTTTAACAATTAAATATATCTGCTCCAGTGTTGTGAGGCACATTCATCTGGACTCGATTGATCCATCTTTGGCAATAGGGTTCTATTGTCGAGACAAAGGTTTGCTTCGCTTGACTGAATTTGTATATGTTGTAACTTAGAATTTGGACCAAGTTCTGACTGTCAGCATCTTTTTTCTTCCCCTTTCTGGCTGGCAGATGATTTCGATGATTTTTGCAACCGGGCATCCAAGCTAGCTGATGAATCAGATGGCGCTCCCTTATTCACTGTAACTCAAACCCTTAAAAAACCAGTCAACCACGGTGATGTCTTGGATGATACTGGTGGGGTTGGAGAGGATGATTCCTTGGGTGTAGTGCCCATGAATGATTCGGACGGCAATGCACACGAGGATGACTGGCAAATCCTTTGAGTGGAAATTACTGGAATTTGTACATCTTGTATTGGTGTCACTGCTCATCTTGTATTGGTGGTGGTGGTGGTGGTACACCCAATTCAGCTGGCTCGGGGTTCTGTTCATCATCCTGGAATTTGTTAATTTCATGTGTAGAAAATTATATTTATTATGATTCTTTTCTCTTTTAATTACTTTTCAAGTTGTTCATACAACTCACCAAAAATATTCATGTTGTAAGATAAATGCAAAAGAATTCCAATTTAGATATGGTAGTTCACTTTACTATATTGCTGCTGATCCTTTATAACTATTGTGGTTTTCATCTGATAAATGAAAAAGCATTTGTATCCCATCTCCATCCTGTTCCTGCCATTCCATCAATTTTAGTTGCCTGGCCATTGCAAAACAGAGTTATCTTGTATAGTTGAAGAATATGAGAAAAGTTTCCAGCATCATGTCACAACTTTAATATAATATACTATAATTGATTAGTAATAGATTGGACAAAAGTTTCTCAAAATGCGTTTTTCAGATGTCTTATATTACGACTTTCAGAATGCATAGAAGACTTTTCTCTGTGAATGTCATATCATTACTTCTTTATTCTTCTCTTGTTTCACCTTCCGTTGATCTTGTTGATAAGCTTCCAAGTAGCTTACATTTCTTTGGATAATGTTAAATGAAGCGTTTCCTAGATATTAGTTTATTAGATGTGAAGCAAAAATGCCATTATTATATATGTAACATTTGAACTACTTGAAATATACCCAGCTCAAACTTTACCAAAAGTTAGTATTATTCGGTGTTTTTTTAAACAAAACTAAAGACATTAGCATTGTGGTCACCACCTGACCCAGAATTTATGTCTAATAGCAATAGATAATCAAACTGAGAACGGTCAACTACATGGCTCAATAATTGATAAGAAAAAGTGCCAAAAGAGGCTCCATCTCCGTCTATTATATTTTACTATCCAAAAAGCACAAAACTTTGAAGGCATAATACATCTCCTCATCTCTAATAAAAACACTCAGATGATATAATTAACTGCTAACCTAACTTAACTCTCTCTTAATCTATCTTAATTCTCACTTACTAAAACAAACCAAAATGTCTTTTAAGTTTTTCAGAAAAGGATGTGAGAAGCAGAGTATGGGAAGCCAGAAAAGCCAGCAGGCATGTGCACATGAGTCCACTTTGTGTTACCATTCCTATTATCTCTCTCCATTATGAAAGCCCCTTCTCCTTCACATTCACTGCACGATGATGACGATGATGATGATGATGATGATGATGATGTTCCTCTACTTCCATTTCCAGTCATCACAAACACCCTCTGCTCACCCTTATTATTACCTTTGGCACAATCTTCAAGCCTTGTCACACTAACACATGGAGATGTCCCAACAATAGTATTGGGAAGTCCAACAATTGAACTCACCTTCCTCTCCTTACCTTCATACTCTTTTGCAATCAAATTTACCCCCTCATGTTGTTGCTGCAATATTTGTTGCTCTTTTGACAAGAACCACAGCCACTGACATTGCTTTCCACTGGTACTATTATTAGAAGCAATTGGAGTTGTGGTGCCTCTGGGGCTAATACTAGGAAATGGCCAAACCCCATCAATTTTAGACCAAATCCCAGTTGCAGGATCATAACACTCGGCATCATCCCTGAATCTCCCTTGGCTTTCAGTGCCGTAACCACTCACAACCCAGAATCTATCATCACCATCCAAACACATCCCTTGACACTCATCTCTTTCTTCTTCCATCTCAGGCAACATCCTCCACTCATCAGCCTCCACATCATAAACTTCTGCTGATTTCAAAGCATTCTTCTGATTGTCATGCCCTCCTGCTACAAAAACTTTACTCCCCCCAACCACCGCACACGCAAAGAAAGAACGTGCAACTAACATAGGGGCTGCACGCCTCCAGCTGGGGCCTTTAACCATGTCAAGAACGTACACATCAGGAACTGGTTCAAGAGTTGTAGGGTCCCAACCACCTAAAAGCAATAACTTTCCACAAGATTGAAGTGTAACACACTGACAAAACATTGGAACTCCCCATGTTTTATTATTACCTGAACCAAAGTTTGGCCTTATCCTTTGCCATGTTTGATTGTTGTAGTTGTAGATACTGAGACCATATTGAAGTGGGGTGTTGTTAATCTCTTGAACTTGTTGTTGTTGATGACGGTGGTGGTGGTGGTGGTGGTCTTGTTGCTGTTGGTCTTCATCTTCTTTCTTGATGTTTCCGAGTCTTGGAAACTCAGAAACAACAAGAGTTGAATCTTCTTCTTCTTCTTCTTCTTCTTCCTGAGAGGGTGGAGTGGGAGAAGGAAGAGGTTGGATTTGGCAGACAAGTTGTTCTGCAGTGCCAGATTTGATTCTTTCTTGATAAAATGAAAGGCTAGAGAGCAAGTTTTGCCAAGTGTGGCAAACTGATTTCATATTGGAATGGAATATATAAGGGACTCTTATTAAACACTCCATGGCTATTTCATCAGGAAGGCCTGGAATCAAGTTCCTGACTGCAAGTTCTATCATTTTGAAGAAAGATAATGTATATGTAATGAACAAGAAATTAAGAAGAGAAAAAAGGTTGACTGGTGGTTAAATTGTTAGTGGAAGGAAGAAGGAGGATCATGAATTGAGAATGTTTTAGAAGGGTGAGGGTGGGAACATATGAAGCCATGTATATATAATCACAGAGAGAGGTAGAGGCAATGAGCTTGACCTGTGGTTGGGAATCGGATTAGTACTGGGTTGTGTACAGATCACAGATTTTTTGTTTCTTTGTGTACATATTATTACAGTAACTTTAAGGTTGCCTCATCTTTGCTTAATCATCAGATTTTATGATATTATCACAACCAATGTAATAATAGACTATTTTTATTCCACTAATGTTTTGTTTTTTTGAAAAATTATCTCAAAATTCTCATCTCAAATAATCATCAATGAAAAAGAGTTATTTACCGATGTCAAGACCAAATATCGGTATAATTAAAGTACGTCAAATCGGTATATAAATTTAATATCTCGATATAAATAGCATCGAACAATGATTATTTTCCCCCAATAATGGTGCCCTATGTTTAGAAAACCACATGATAACATAACCCTGTTTATTTTATAAATTTTGTTTTCTCGGGGCAGTAACACTAACATTTACCCCTCGTAATCCCAGGATCAGGGTTTAAACTTTAAAGGAAAACTTGAGCTAAAGGCTGTTACAGTAACGTTACTGGATACTGTAATATAACAAGATTGGTATTATTAAGGTATAATATTACAAAACCTGGTTAATTATAATGTCAGTTAAGACAAAAAAAAAAAAAAAAAAAAAAAAAATGAAGTTCCATTTTGTGCAAGTGGAGAATGAGTTGCAGCCACGCAGGATATATATAACAAGAAGCAGCTGTAACAAGTACTTTACAAAAGCACTTTTTCTATTTAGTTGTGTTGTGTACGTCAATCCTCTTCATCTCTTTATCCAAGCCCAGAAATTCAATTAGGAAAATAATGCCCTTCTCTAACCTGATTTCATTTACGTTATAATACTTAATATTACGATATTGGTCGATCACGCCATAGTTTAAGCCTTTTGTAATGATTTATCACCCTAATCTACACCTGCGTTAACCAAACAAGAACAAGAATCATACAAGAATAATTTTACCGTGGTTCGCCTTTCAAAAAATTGGAAAGATTACATCCACGTTGAGCTCCGAAAACAGAGGAAACTTACTGTATTGTAATGAATCATAATATACAGATTACACATATTTAAAGAATCAAACCCAATAATCCCCTTAATCGCTACCAATCTCGTAATCAAATACTCTAGAGAGACTAATCCTAGAATCCTGAGCAACCGAGAGATTATCAACCCTCCTTGAATGATTAACCCTAACCACTCAACTCCAAATTACAAAGACTTCAATTAAGCTAAAGAGTAAACCCTCCAAACTTGATCTATCATATGAGAGAGATAAATTCTTGCTTGCTTAAATACCGTTAACCAAAACCATAGTGAGATTACAATCGCTGAATCAAGCCAAGATGAATGATCAAGATTGGGTCACTTAACATCAAAACGACTACGTCTCTCTTAAAGTAATACGCCACCGTTTTAGTCTTCACATTTACACCTTTTTTTTCCAACCTCAATCGTTGGATCAAAATCTAGTGTACGATATGAGTCAATCACATGGTAAGGCATAACAAGAGGTTGGAAACATGATGTAAATGTTCTAGAAGGCAAGAAGAATATGCATGTTGTGGGCAACAAGTTGCTTGAATTCCTCACTCAATTCATATTTACTTAAATTTTCATTAATCATGTGACCTCACTCAAGCATATAATAAAGGGCATATGCCTAAAATATTGAATGATTCAAACATATGCATGTTGTTGAATTTGTGGTTCACGGACAATATCTGGATTTGATTTAAACACCTCAACCAAGAAAAATCTACAAAGAGTCTAGAATAAAGTAGTGATAGAGTTTGGCAGCGTGATTGACCTGCAAGTAAACTGAAGAATAATTCGCCCAAGGACAAAACTCCATGAAATTTAATGGTGGTGGCCACAACTCTCACTCACACTCATGTTTTCTTAAAATTAAAATCAAACTAAAAGTTTATTGCATGATGGATTTTGTTATTAAACTAATATACTTAGTGAGGTTGAGAGTAATTGATTTTCTGGGGGGTCATTTCACTACTTATTGTTTTAAATTCCAACTTTAATTTAAATATATTTTTCACGTTCTACATATGTTTGAGAGTGTAAGGTTTAGGATATGAACGTCTTGATTCTCCTGTGATTAAAAAGAAAAAATGAACTCTTATTAACAAGAATTGAGATGTGAATTTTAAATAGTGTTTTAAGTCGGCACCAAATAAATTTAATATATAATTTTATGTATTATTTGGCATAAAATCTAAGTATGGTTAATGAGAAGAGCCCACAAGAAATTGTCTACTTCATAAGTGGCCAACCAAGTAGGGACCAACAATAAAGAAGGAAAAAAGCTAAAGCTGAAAAAGGGTTACCCTTCTAGAACCTTACTTTTAATTTTATATCTATCTACCTGTCTATCTATTTATAATCTTTGTCTTTTCTTTTAAGTGCTTTTTTTTATTATCATGGGGACACACTTTCTATATTTCTTTCTATCACTACTTCATATTAAATAAAAGTAAAAGCATTAGATGTTTACAATAAAGTTTTTTTTATCATAATTTATGCACATTTTAAAGAGATTAAATATTTTTTTGTCTTGTTTTTCACATCGAAATTGATTTAAATTTGTATTTTCCCAAAAAGAAATTGTTTTAAATGAAGTTTAGGATATGAATTATGGAATTAATTATATGAATGTGGTGACACTTTGGGAAACTTTCTATCTTATTAAGAAATAATGAATGGGACCCTTGAAAGTGACATATACCCTTTAACTAAATTTAAAAATATTTGAAATATCAAATCATTTGTGTTGATCCAATTTCCAGAAGCAATAATGTTTCTAGAAACAATTTTGAGTAAAGAGTGGCCCTTAAATTTTCACCATAAAATAAAATAAAATAATTAATTAATTCAGTGGTTGAGATGAGTTGATCTTTAAAAATTCCAAAAGCAAATTGTTCGACCCTTGAAAATGACATATACCCTTTAATTTAATTTAATTTAATTGATGACATGAATCTCGACAAAGATTAATTTTTTTATTATAATAATAATAATAATAAAATTAATTAAATGTAAGAGTCAAATATTCCGATCCACATGGTTTTAGGCCGGAAACACGCAGCAGTGTTTTGCCGCCCCGTGATAATCTGATTATTAGCTAAGAAACATTGATCTCATTAACAAATCTTAATGTTAAAATAATTAAATTAATTAAACTAATTAATTCATCGATAAAGCTTATGTAACGCTAATGTAATGGACAATTTTATGGATGTTAACGTGAAAGCTTGTAGCTTTGTAAGATATCGAAAGAAGACGGCACCGTCTGTCTGATTAATATATTTCATGATTACGACTTAATTAATTAACTAATCACTTTATACATTAATTAAACACTATTTTGTGAATCTTGAGTGGTTATAATCAACTCATTCAATCCAATCAATGTAAGAGATTTATGTTTCCTTTTTAAAACAATATTAGTAACTTAATTGAAGAATTTGGAATCGAACTTGCTAATTATAGTTAATTGATGAATATCAAAATTGATAGGAGTTTATAAAATTTTAACTTGTTGATGTATAATTAATTAATTAATTTTTTTTTACTTTTAAAATAAGAGATAAAAAAAAAAATCTTATGACAACGTATTCAGTAAAAAGGAATCGAAATGTTTTTTAAAACAATTTCGGAATAAATGAAAAACGCATTTGATAATATTAATAAATCGATAAATCATTTAATTACTTCGATAAATGTAATATGCAAAATTATGGTTTGGTTTATTATGATTTATTATAATTACAATTATAAATATGGATGTATAAAATTAATGCAGTCTCATCTCATCGTCTCAACACCTAACAATGACACCGGCCCTCTCATGCTCTTCTAGTCAACTCAATTGTCATCACAAAACTCACTCCTTTTTCTTCAAAGGCCAACATTAATTCTACTACTCCTTAATTCTAATTATTCTTCCATCATCTTCATCTAATGATCTTATAGTATATATATATTCCAAGCTCACATCATATTAAAAGTTTAAAACTTTCTTTAGTGTTTTTTTACACAGCTTTACCTGTTTTTTATGATTTTATCCCAAATTCTTTACTCTCTCTTTCTCTTTCTCATGTTATTCGCTCTTAAAATTTTGAAGACTGAAATTGTTAAATTTTCACTACTTAAGGTGTCATAATTAGCTCCGTTTTCTGTTTTATCAATTTTATGTATGTGTATTGCTCATTTCAATTTAGTTTATTTAAGGATTGAATCATTTTTTTTTTCTTTTTGAGGTTTTTTATTTTAAGTTGAGAGAAAATGATATTAATCTTGTGAGTTTATTTTGTATTTTCTGTCTAAGAATGAATCTGCTTTCTCAAATTAAAACCTTAACTATATTTTAAAGGACGTTATTCTTTATCTTTCACCCACTATTTTTCTATATTTTAAACGTCACTGTTCAGTTGTTCAAAATTATTAAAGAAATTTGAGTTACTATCTATGTTTATACTAAAAAAATTTCCTCTCTTTTATTAATTCATATTAAAAGTCAACATAACGTTGACTTTATTTAAGTTTTGGTTAACTTTAGTTTAATTATGCTAGGTTGATTAACACTATGAAAATTTATATTGTAATATTTAAAAACCAAAAATAAAAATATTAAAAGAAGGTTTTGTTCAAGGTTTGCTCAACACTTTTACTCAAAATTTTGCTTCTTATAGATTTATTCAAGTTAGAAAATATTGTGTTATTGTATATTCTTTTTTCTCAGGTTCTTAATATTGTATTATTTTTTTAATTAAGGTTTAATGATTTTTTAATGTTTTCACTAGTTATTTGGCAAATAATGGCGGAGCCGCGGAGGCCCCCTGAACAAAAATCCTGGATCCGCCACTAGTCTCATGGGTTAAATAGTGTCAACAATGCGGAATGCAATGAATTTTGACAAGGCACTTTGTAAATACGAGGGTTGTCATTTTTTAGCCTTTTTGGGTTGTTTTTAGGGGGGTTTGGACATTTTTATAATTTTTAGG